CAATGTCATCCACATATGTAATACAGGCGTTCGCTTAGTTTAATTGACTCATAAGTCAAGAGCAAACAAGGAACAAAAAACCTGAATTTGCTTGGGAAAGCAGGCCAAATCAAGCCATTTCCATTTACGTGTAGCTAATTCAGATGCCGCCGCGTCTCCTGTTTAAGGCGTCAGCTGCGCCACTGCAGACAAAGGCATTGACACGCCCAAAAAAAAACGGCACTCACACACGGTTGGGACAGCGACGTCCACCTGCTGCCCCCATTCCCATTCCTATTCCCATTCCCATCTCCCTCTCCATCGAATCCCCAATTCCATCCCATGGCAGTTGTTAGTTTAAACTGATTTGCAGTGTTTGACATGGCCATAAAAAGCAACGGGAAGTGGACCAAACCGAAAGGGCCAAAAGGCAGCAGGAGCCGAATGTGCCATGCGATGAGTGTGAGTGTGAGTGAGCGATCAGAGGAGCTTCGCTTAAATGTTTTGTCTTCATTGCTTTCGCCTCTCGCCTTTTGCTGCTACTGTTGGCGCTGCACACACACACACACACACAGTCAGAGCCACAGACAGACCCACACACACGCCGACAGATCCTAACTACTTGTAACCCATTCAACTAACCTAACCATGTGGATGGGCTAGTCTCATCGCCTGCCGTGTTCTGTTGGTCATTTCACTAATCTCTTCATTTTGCTCAATTCTGTTTTTTCCTTGTTGTTGTTATTATTATTGTCGTTGTTGTTGTTGTTGACGTTGTTGTACCTCCTCCCATGTTTACAATTTATTTGGCCTGTTGTAGTTGCGCTATCGTTGTTGTTGCTCATACGCCCCATTGTCTATATTTTTTGGAGCTGCAGCCGCCCTTTTGTTTGACCAGAACGTGCAGCGTCTCTAATGTTAAGTTCAACCATTCATTTTCGAGCCATATAAAGCGAACAGGGTCCATGTGACAGCCAGCAAACACAACAACCACCCCTACACCAACCCCTACAACTACCCCAACATCCATCCTTATCCCTATTCCTATTGCTATAGCTACAGCCCACGTTTATGCTTCCTCTCCCTCTCTCCCTCTCTCTCTCGCCCTCCGTCTTACTGGTTGGATATTATGCCTGTGCACGTCCGCCCCCAATAAGCTGCTCTTGTTGTTATTGTTGTTGTCGTACAGGACGCTGCCCTGGAGGGTGGGGCTATCCAACAATTAAGTAAAACGATTAAAATGCAAAGTAGTCAACGCCAATGGGCTGCAAAAATCTGCTGCTGCTGATGCTGCTGATGCTGCTGTCAACGACACAAATTCCCTCAATACCCTAACAATGTCAAACAAAAGATTGGAACAAATGTAAATAGTTTGCTAATGTGAAATATATGCAAAACTGTCGACGAAAATCGCAGCTCAAAATGCAGGTGAGAAACAGAGACTGAGTGTTAAACAACAGATTAAAAAATATATATATTGAAATTTAGATTGTATATACATGTACATATGTATATACGAGTGTATGCTTTTCTCACATAGAGTTGGAATGCTCCTTATATGCCCATTGCATATCGGAATGCCATTAGAGACATTTAGATTGGATAGGTAAAACAGTTTCGATCTGCTTTATTTATTTATAGACCATATTGATCTTGCTATCTCCGTAATTCTTTCAACTAAGGCTGATCTGAATATATATACTTAATATGCAACTAGAAAGTTCCAGATCCAGCACTCCAATTTTTGTTCATGTACATATCTACATTTATCTAGATCCCTATCAATCTACTCTACGGATGATCTTTGAACTAAATTATTTGATATATGAGTCAAGTACGAATAATACAAAACTCAAATAGATAAACTACAGATAAAGAGTTATAGGGTCACGCTTATCTGAATATATCAACTCCAAGTACTCGACTCAAAGAGATAAACTCTATACATATATATATTTACCTATAGGGTCCAGCTAATCTGAAGGGATCCAGATCCAAGAGAGGAATCATAATCGATCTGTTCTACAGTTCAGCTAAATTTCAATTACATCGATCTTTGAACATAATTAATGGATGTTCCAGTATTTCTCTAATTGCTTGAGCTCCATGCAATCCTCTTAAGTAGATGAGCTATTAATTGGCAACTAGTACATTCTATTTACTATTGGGGCCATGTGATATTTCCAGCTGGCATTGGATAATTTAAGTTTATTTCCAGAGCGCAACCTTTTGGGTCAATTCATGATTTAATCCGTTCGTTTAATTTCCATGGACATTGTTGCTGCTGCTATTACGGTCACAGTTCTTGATCCCACAACAGCCCGCTACTAAGCAAACACACACGCACACGCACACACTCGCACACACACACACACTCAGGCACAGTCGCATTGTGCAATGGTTTTGTTTGCTTCTGGCATTGTTGTTGCATTTAATTAAAACCCTTAAATGTAGGCACACGATTGCAGTAGCTACAGTTGCTCGATAAAGAGGCTGCCGTTGAGCGAAAAGGGGGGCGGGCGGTAAGACGGGGCCATTTTGGGGGACATTCGAAATAAATAAATGTAGAGCTGTTGCCATTTTGGCAACCACAGCAACGACCAGAACCAACAGCATCAGCAACAAAGCCAACAACAACAACAACTCACTTATCCCTTTCACTCCCACACACACACGCTGTCTTGTTCTTTTTCTGACTCTCGCTCTCTCTCTCTCTCTCTCTCGCTCTCGCTCTCTATCTCTCTCTCTCTGTCTCTGTCTCTTTCCTTCTTTCTCAATTCGTAATCGCTCAAATTGTTGGGCAAACATTTTAGCAGCTTTTTGGGAAAATAGTTTAAATGATTTCGTCCGTTCGAAAAAAGTTATTTTAAAAGCAAATAGAAAATATTCCGTAATATACGGAAATTATATTTAGAGAACTGTTTCGAGAGCTGCAACTGGCTTACGCCAGGGCTTAATGTATTTATTAGCTATAAGCCTAATTAGACTGCACACAAGTTTCTTTGTCTAGACGCTCCATGCACATTAGATAATCCCGGCTACTCTAACTATTTTCTGGGTCGACGATTCTGACCAACCAAATGTTTGTGTTGTATAGGTGTCTATGTCTATTCTTATGTAAAATTTATTGAAAGTGCTTTTTAAGAACTGAGAGAAGGTGCGATATATATCGCTTCAAATCGATAACAGACAATCGATCAAAGCTATCGGTAAGTTTATGTGAAGTGGACTAAGTGCATCTATAGACGAACGTCATGTTATAGCGGCGCCAGACAAATAAATGATTTTGATTAAAAATATATTTTTATCAACTGTATTTTCTTTATACTTTAAAATTCTAGGGTATAGACGAAAGGCAATCTACTGATTTCACATGCATGAATGAGTATAAAGACAATGGCTATTGTTGAGTTACTATCCTCGAATATATCAACCCATATCAATAGCAGTGAAATTGTATTTCAAGAGTTTTTCAGCTCGCTGAATAAGCAACTGAAATAATTTATATTTCATTCAAAGCACGTCACAAAAATTTTTCCAATCATATCATTGTTCATAATATTCGGTGTATTTTAATTGAAAAAGTGCGAACAAAAAGAACTAAAACTCATTTTATACGGAATGAAAAATACAGTCGAAAGTCGAAATGAAAAGAATTTAAAAATAATAATAATAAT